TACTNTGTGTGTGTGTGTGTGTGTGTGTGTGTGTGTGTGTGTGTGTGTGTGTGTGTGTGTGTGTGTGTAAGTATGTATATACATATCAAATCCTCGGCGGGAGCAGACATACTGTAGTAGCAGTAGGCGCCGCCATAGACCAGGGCGTCAGTGTACCAGTCACTGACTGAGCTCTGCGCAATGGGCTCACACACAGTGGCCTGAGCTGTGGTGTTCCATCCTTGGTAGTATGTGTTATTAAACCCCTCGTCATCTACGCCATCGTCGCATACGGCACACCCAGCCGCACGGAGATGGTTGTTATTGCCGCTGTAGTTGAGATGAGATTGCAAGGTAGGTAAGTCAATGCGCGAGTATGTGGCCATGTGAGTTGATGTGTGGTATGGAATAGGTGGGCGAGTATATAGGGGTAGTGTGTGTTGATGCCTCTGCAGATGTTGTGATGATGAACGAGAACGTGTACATAGAATGAGAGAGACCACGGCATGAGAGCGCGGGATTTGGTACGTGTGTTCTTGTAAGTGAGTACAGCCCATGGTAGCATGTCGATGGACATAGACTACAAACGTGTGGTGTAAGTGTGTTCTTGTAGGTGAGTACAGCCCATGGTAGCATGTAATTTGAGATAGACTACAAACGTGTGGTGTAAGTATGTTTTTGTAAGTGAGTACAGCCCATGGTAGCATGTAGATGGAGATAGAATGTGTAGATGGGTGGGTTTCAGTGGTAAACTTCGGGTATACGATCTCAATAGTGAATGAGCAATGTGTGCCTGTGAGTGTGGGGGTCGTTTACGATAGTGTGTAGATGAGAGTGCGTTTATTTGACATAAGAGTAACAAATAGACAACCCTAAACCCAAGAGAGCGTAATAATGGCGGGTGCGTAGGTTAGAATCGAATTGGAAGTGCTGCGCATGTGAGTAGACCCACCTACCATGTGTTAATAGCACCACGTGTATCTACCACGTATTATAAGTACCATGTGTATCTACCACGTATTATAAATACCTCGTGTATCTATCACGTGTTATAAGCACTACGTATTATAAATACCACGTGTTATAAGTACCACGTGTATCTACCACGTATAATAATGCCACGTGTATCTACCACGTGTTATAAGTACCACGTGTATCTACCACGTATTATAAATACCACGTGTATCTACCACCGATATAACTACTACGTATTATAAAAACCACGTGTATATACCACGTGATCCACCTACTGATGTAGTGATACCTACGAACGTAGTGGTACCTACGAACGTAGTGGTACCAACTAACACACTGGTACCTGCCAATACACTAACGCAATGATACCTACTGATGCAGTGATATCTACGAACGCAGTATTACCAGCTAACACGATACCTACTGAGATGTTTTTTCGTCAATAAATAGATTTGGAATGTGAAGTTTTAACCCATAAGCATACCTGTAATCGTACGCGAAACTAGGATCCACTTCGTCAAAGGTCCAATAGCCCATCTGCCCAATAAAATAAATTAGTCACAACAAATGAGACCTGAAACAACTAACAACAATACACTGACCTATGGTCACGCGAGTGTCACAGACTTGACATACAATTGAGGTTTAGCCAAAGCCCTAAAACTCTAGAACCTTAAAACACTACAAAGAATACTACCCCTAAATTAGTCGCAAGAATTGAGACACGGTAACAACTAGCAACAATGCACTGACTTATGGCCACGCGAGTGTCATAGACTTGACATACAATTGAGGTTTAGCCAAAGCCCTAAAACCCTAGAACCTTAAAACCCTACAAAGAGTACTACCCACCGACAAGACATCTTCATCTACAAGGGAACGAGTTATGATTCTGAACAATACACAAAGCCTTGCATTTGAAAGTATATGCCATATTGGGAATGCTGTAGGATACCTACCAAACCATCCATCGGCTCGCGCAGAGTGTTCGTCGCCTCATCCAACAGAGATATGTACATGTCTCGTTGTATTTCTTCCTGTGCAGGGTAGATAAAGGGGTCAACAGAGCCGACAAATACGACGGTGCATAGGTTGTCTAGCACTACATATATAAGCTACATGCTTTGTTTGTGCACGTATACCACTCACCTATAGCCTGATTCTTTCAAGTACTACATGTACATATATACATATACATATATACATATAC